TGTGTGGTCCTGTGTTTTGTTGGTGTATATTTAATATACTTCTAATCAATATTTCAATCTTTCTATCTTTCTAATTACTTCTCTCTCTGTTTTTCTCTCTGTCTCTATTTTCTCTTCACTTAAAAAAATCACTGATGATGAATAAATAAATAAACTAAATAAACTAATATTTGGTTTCATTTTCTACTGAAGTGACAAAAAAAGGCCAAAACCAAAGTAGACTGGTTTAGACTCAGAAGTCCTCAGTCATTCTGGTCATTCTGACAAACCATATACTGTTCATCAATCTGGTCAGATTTAAACTTTATTTCTCCAAATTATGTTCATAAGCATCACAGCTCTTTTTTGCGGAAAGTGACACAGAACTTGCTCATTCAAGCGTTGCCAACAGGTTTGATGTTGAGATCTGGCTCGCCTGTCATCCGCTTCACTCAGATTTATAGATTCTTTCATAGGCTGGTGCCTGACTCAAAGTGACTCAGATTTTCAGATGAAATTCCACCCGTGTGCAGTCTTTTAAAGAACACATACATGAGGTCATTCCCTCAGCAGCAGTAGAAAAAAATATTCACTCAGGCCTGGAGTCTAACTCTGTAATTGACTTGGGGAAACGAAGGAATCAAGACGTAAGGCTAAGAGAAAACCTGCTAACACAATGGGAGAGGTMTTTTCTTGCCACCGAGGCATCCAAATTTCAGCACAAAATATTTTTTGTAACTCTATACTACACATGCCTTACTTTTAGACCCTGATCAGGGACCTCTTCACTGGATTTATTTTTTAGTGCAAACCCAGATGATCCCCTTAATACCTCAAGGCAATCAAATTTTGTATGTTCCTTTGCCCGGATTCTTGTTTGTTTTCAGTCACGCTAGTGGCATAGTTGATTAGATTGTTGGTAATTTAAAATGTCAAAGTCATTAAAAGCTTTCTACAATTCCTCAAACCATAACAGAAATGTAGAACAGATCCAGGCAAAAGTTTATACTCTTATTGTGAATTTGGATGTCATGGATCAACCTATTTTTTTGCGTACCCCCACCCCCCACCCCCCCCACACACACAAACCAGAATGTTTTGTTGAAAGAAAAAACACACAAAGAATTTGGTGTACAAGTACTTGGGGTTTTTATAAACATTTTTTATAAACAAAATATCAATATTATGCAGTCAACATGAAAAAAATAACCACCGATGCGTTCAAATGTTTATTCAGTGGTGCTAAAATTCTAAAATGCCTGTTTAACTTGCCAAGACCTTCAAACTTCCTGTCAGTGACCATGATTGACTGCAACTTGTTGCTTCTCTATGCCCACATAAAGACTTTGTTTGACAGGACTCTTCTGAGAATGTCTGAGGGGGCTTTTTGTAATTTTAGAAAGAGTGTTGCAGTTTCGCACAAGCCAAGCATGGTTTTAGGAGCCATTTCTAAACAATTTAAAACTCCAAAATCATCCGTTTAAACTGTTGTTTACATGTGGAGGTTTTAGAAGGTGTAGCTGCTGATCCAAGGTCTGAATAAAAAAACAGAATTGCTAACTTTGAAGGTCCATGACTTGATAAAAGGTTCTCCCAGCGGGTTGTGACATAAAGGGGTGGAAGACTCGAAGCTGTGAACAAAATGCTGCATCTTTTGTCATGCAACTGTGACTGTGTTTACATGGACATAAGTAATCAGAATACACAGCCAATCAGAATAAAAATGCATCATGTAAACTCCCAAATCATTATGAATTTKTAATCTGAATGAGAATGGTGGTTTATGCCGATTGATAATCTGGATGCTATGTATGGTCAATTTTGTCATACAGTACATGTCAAGTTGTACGGATTATCCGTAATTTACACATATTTCACATCATTTTGCAGGTATAAAGCAATCTCACAGATTTTTTCATGTTTTACAGATTTTTCCAAAATTATTCAAACTTATTTAACATGTCAGAGCCTGTGGGATGTAAAAAAAGTAATTAGTAAAATCAAATATCCATTTCCAACCCACTCTGCTGCTAGAAATAAATAGTTCCACCCTCATTTCCTTCTGATTTTGCTGCAGCCGAGTCCGCTGGCACCACCCATATTTTTTAGCAAAAATTATGTATTTTTGAGGCTCATTATACAGGTAAACGTCCGAAGGGGTTGACATACATGTTGGTTAGGGTAAAACAACCTATTCGAAACTTTGAAAGAGCTTAACATTATTGAACACCTCGATGGTTGTGTAGGGGTCACCTCGAGTGAAGAAACAAGATTTACTGCCTCAAAGCAGGCCTCGGACAGGCCTGATGAGAGGACAGGAACTCTGTCACAAACTGAACTCTATTTAGGCCATGACAGGTCATTCCAACCGTAGAAGAGAACTCCTCAGTTCTCTTAATCAGATAATGGACAGAACAATCTCTTCTGTTCGTGATTCATTTGTTGTTTAACTAAGAATGTTTATGCATTTGTTAAATCATGATAATGACTGTCACAGAAAAAGTGGAACCACTTCTTTTCTTTTATTGTGCCTAAAAGATTAATAACGGTATAAAAAATCACAAAATCTGATTATAATGTTTTGATTGTGTTTTTTATGTAAATCACTGTTTTTATTTTACTGTGAACACAGTAATATAATTGTGGATTTTTCCTGAGAAAACCTTTAATTTATCTGGACTAACAGAAGGTTCAGAACTGATTATAAAACAGAAATGTTAATTAATCATCATAAATGTTTTGCAGTGATTTCTCTTAGAGTCTATCAGAAGAAAGCTGAAAAAGGTTATCATCATGTTGTGAACAACCACAGAATTTTAACCTTGGGCTGGAACCGGTTGGCAAATCTTTATCTTTCTTTCTCTGACTCATCTATAAGCCTGAGGGTGGAACAAAAGTTCGTCCGTTTCTTTTACTAACCCGGAAGGCTTTGAGCAACACACTCTTCTTCCTGACTCCAACCAAGGAAGAAAGCTGGGGCTCTCTCCGGTTCTAACCCAGTTTGGCTTTAAGTCTGAGCCCATGAGCCAACTAGGGAAGACTTAATAGCCAGAGACCCGACACGCCAGCCGGTCTCACCCCGAGGCTTCAAGCCTTTAAAGTGTGTTTTTACCTCCCGTGGGGAGATTTTATTTTGGAAAGAAGGGACCGGATAACAGCTTGAATTTTTCTGGCTTGGACTGAAAAAAACAAAAGTTACCTGGAAAAACACCTACTCGCCAATGACCGGTAAGCAAGCCGACATTCAGTTCCCTGACTGATCGGAGGCGAGCCAGCTCCTACCCCGAGGGTGCCTTAAGAAGACATCATCAGGTAAAARCTGATGTGTTYGGAGTGACGTGTCATGTGGACCCTGAGCGCAGAAAAGACGTGCAKTTCCGGTTGACCCACACTTTGATAAAGTAAAAGTAGTAGTAACCTACTAAACTTACTTCCCTCCTTTCCTTGTTCTTTATTTKCCAAAATTTAAGCTGAAAGTGCCAGTAAAATTGCTTGGTTGTTAACATCAGAACTGACGTTTTACTGTTCTATATAAGTAATATAAGTTGATGTGAATGGAAATTCGGACGTGGGTTTTATCTCATTTAACTTTGACACTTGTTATARGAATTCCCACAATTAAGTGTAATTTATGATTTGTTCAATTTGTGTAAATAAATGATTSCATAGTCTTTTATGAATCAACTTGAACTCGTSTRAACGTTAACTTATTGTGTCACTTTTCAATTTGCACAGTCAAGATATTAACAAGTAATGAGAAATACCTTGGTAAAAAATTTCCTCATAACCTTGTGTATGAGAGATGTGGGAAAAGCTTAATACCACCTTAAGCTCACTTCCTACAGTTGAAAGTCTAGGAAGATGGAGTAATATCTCCACCGTTATGGCATGGTCTGGGCATGCAGAAGACACGAAGTTCAGAAGAAAGTTTGTTTATGTTCATCACAGAAGTAGAACTTCTGTTGATTTTTGAGTTTGCAACTCRTCAGTATTCTGAAATAAAAGCCTGGTGCATGCAAAGCTTGTCACAATTGGATTAAATAATTGTGTGCCCCTATAAAGGATACATTCAGGTTATTTAATCAAAATATATTTCAATCCGATCAAAGAACTTTTTGCATGTAAGCATAGCTGATGAGAGATGATTTCAGCAGTTGAGATGGAGCRTGTCGAGGCCATGAAGACTGATTTGTTTGCCTTTGGTGATCTGTATGTTTGGAGGTATAATAGGCATACAGTATGTGGTGGACAAAGCAGAAAATAGTAGCTAGATTGCACAAAGAACATAAAATGCTGAAAATCCAGCATTGTATCTCTAAAACAATCAACCAGACAGTGAAAACTTGGACACAAGTTCCAGAAAAGCAACAACCCAAAACAAACATCAATGCAGACTGCAGCTCTTATATGATATATCACAGAGACTGCTCAGAAGCTATCTTGCCTTTAAATTAGCAAGWTTAAACCCACATTTATACCACCACAATCAAAACTCAAATAAGTTGTTCTGACTTGATACTTCTTACCTGCGACAACAACGACACATGTCTGAGCAGGAGGTCTCCTCCCYCTCAGTATAACTTTTGGACTCAGTCAGTGAAGGCGGGCAGAGCAGGACAGCCCGTCCTCTGACGTCACAGGCGGCTTTCAGTATTTAAACTTGAATCAGAAGCGGAGGAGTGARGTTTTCAGAGCCGGGACAGGGTTGCCTAGCAGCTGGGAGGAGGACTCTGCCTACTTCACGCTCTTCCACTTTAAAAATTTTTTTTAAACCCGAAGAACCGTGGACTCTGCCTTTTGTCTGTTTGTCTGCGTTAAGACAACATTCCAAGCATGCCACAGACCGTGACACTGAACGGACCCTCTCCGTGGGGCTTTCGACTGGTGGGAGGACGGGATTTCAGCACACCGTTAACTATCTCCAGGGTAGGTAGCAGCCTTCCTGCCCATTCATTCAGCTGAGCGACAAAAGAAAAGATGTTTGCTCAACTTTTAGCAGTGGGACAGTCTGAATCGGTCCAGACTGGGATTTGATAAAAGCATAAACCTTAAATAAGACGTTACTAGGAATGCACCGATATGAAAATTTCAGCCATTATCGATATCCGATATAATTATTGGTGTTATGGCCGATAACCGATAT